TACATGGGATTGTCTCCATCAGATGTTGTATTTGCCCAGGCAGTGGTCCACAAAGGTCAAGTGTCTGCCTCAAAGAGCAAACTTGCCCTGTACCATTGGGCTTCCAAGTTACCTTTGAAAGCCAGAGGTGTCAGCATGGCCTGTCCATCAAGGCAGGGGACAAGGTGAGTGGTCATTAGAGGCCCAGTATGGTTTAAAATGCCTGTCACTGGGAAATTGTAAAAATGAGGCAAAGAGGTCTTCAAAAAGACACAATCTAAACTTTCTGCCCACTTCTAATATAGGAAATATGTTATGAAGGCAATTTTGGGAGTCTCCTTCCATGTTTTCTTATTCAAAACATATACCCAAACTTTCCATGATATAGAAGTGTGGGTTTGACTTTTGTTTTTCTTTTGTTTGTTCTGGATACGTATATTTCAAGGAAAAAATGATGTTATCTTTGTGAAGGTGCACAATAGTGAGTACTAAATTTTCAAGTAATTTAAAAATTTATATGACCTGGATGGAAAAAGAAAGAAAAATTCCATCTGCAGAAGTGTATTGAATCATTCTCAATAGAGTAAATTAAAAATTGCAGTCAGATATATCCTTCTCTGATCTTTAGCTATATAGACACATTGCTTCCTTGGGAATGTTTCAAATTTCTTAAAAAATGTCTCATACATGGGATCGTTTTTTCCTTCATTCTGATCTCAGTGACATGACTTTGAGTCACATTTGTAAATCGTTCTTCTCCTTTTGTACAGCTAAGGTGACCAGGATTCACTCAAATGTAAACAGATTTCCTCATCGTACACCCAGGGTCTTAAGTGCTGCTCAGATAATTCATGTGTGCTCTTTGTCACCCTTCTGTTGCCGTCTTCCATATACTGTAAGCTTTCTCTATATTCTTCAAAAATTTTGATTTGTCTCCTTGTTCCTATTGTTATCAAATTAACCTCCCAATGCACTTTTCTTGTATCATTGAATCCATTAGATATAAACTATATAATCTTTTCCCATATCTTGTCATTTTCCTTCTTTTTTTCCTTAAATTTATTTGAACTGCTACCTAAAAACACAAATAGTATACATTTCAATGGGCAAATAGATGTGCTGTTGTTATGAACACATTGTGTTATCTTTGTCTCCAAACACTTTAATTCTTTTTGGTGAAAACTTCCCATATGCTTTCTTATAGCTCTTTGAAAGATTGTTCATTATTGTTTTCTATAGTCACACTACTGTGGGATGGTGCACTAGAACTTCTTGCTCCTATCTAAGCAAAACTTCTTATTCTTTACCATCTTAACCTTCCATTTCCATCCCCTACACTCTCCAGCCTATGATAATCACAATTCCAGTCTCAGCTTCAATATGGCCAACTCTTCAGATTTGATATATAGTAAGATTTTAAAGCACTTTTTTTTCTTTGCCTGAGTTATTTCACATAACCTAATGATCTTCAGTTCAATGCTTGCTTTAATAAGTCAAAGAATTTCATTTTTTTCTTAAAATGAATTACATTGCATAAATTTACTTCATTTTATTTATCTATTTATCAGTTGATGGACACTCATATCAATTCCATTTATTGGATAATGTCAGTACTGCTGCCATAAGAATTGGAGTACAGATGTCTCTTTAATGTCTCAATTTTATTTTATTTTCTTTGGATATATGCTCAGCAGTGAATTGCTATATCACATGGTAATTTTTCTGGGGACTGTCTGATATATGTGCTCATATTTCCTGTGTTTGTAAAGGATAGTTTTGCTATGTTCTGTATTTTTAAACATTTATTTATTTATTCTAATTTGTTATACATGACAGCAGAATGCATTTCAATTCAAAATTTACATATAAGACACATTTTTTCCTGTCTCTGGTTGTTCACAAAGTAGAGTTACACCATTTGTGTCTTCATGTATGTACTTAGGGTAATGATGTGCCTCTCATTCTACCATCTTTCCTATCCACCTGCCCCTTTCCTTCCCCTCCCTCCACTTTACTCTATATAAAGTTCCTCCATTCCTCCCATGTTCTCCCTAAACCCATCCCCATTATAGATAAACATCCACATATCACAGAAAACATTCAGCCTTCAGTTTTTTGGGATTGGCTTACTTCACTTAGCATAATATTCTCCAACTACATTCATTTACTTGCAAATGACATGATTTTATTCACTTTTAATGCTGAGTAATATTCCATTGTGTGTGTATGTATATATATATATATATATATATATATGTATGTATATCTCACAGTTATTTTATCCCTTCATCTACTGAAGGACATCGAGGTTGGTTCCACAATTTAGCTATTGTGAATGTGTTCTGTATTTTTGATTTGGCAGGTTTTTCTTTCACTCTATGAAAATCTCATGGTACTCACTACTTCTGGTCTATATGTTTGCTGTTGAGAAGCCTGCCATCAGGTGAATTAGGCCACCCCTATGTGTTGTTTGTTTCTTTTCTCTTGATTTCTTTTTTTTTCTTTTCTTTTTTTATTAGTTGTTCAAAACATTACAAAGCTTTTGACATATCATATTTCAATCATTTGTTTAAGTGGGTTGTGAACTCCCATTTTTACCCCCTATATATATTGCAGAATCACATCGGTTACACATCCACGTTTTACATACTGTTGTATTCTGCTGCCCTTCCTATGCAGTATGGAGATTCCTTGGAAAGCTGGGAATGGAACCACCATTTGACCCATCTATTCCTCTTCTCGGACTATTCCCCAAAGATCTTAAAAGAGCATACTATACGGATACAGCTACATCGACAATTCATAATAGCTAGACTGTGGAACCAACCTAGATGCCCTTCAATAGATGAATGGATAAAAAAATGTGGCATTTATACACAATGGAGTATTACTCTGCACTAAAAAAAGGCAAAATCATGGAATTTGCAGGGAAATGGATGGCACTAGAGCAGATTATGCTAAGTGAAGCTAGCCAATCCCTTAAAAATGAATGCCAAATGTCTTCTTTGATATAAGGAGGGCAACTAAGAACAGAACAGGGAGGAAGAGCATGAGAAGAAGATTATCTTTGAACAGGGTCGAGAGGTGGGAGGGAAAAGGAGAGAGAAGGGAAATTGCCTGGAAATGGAAGGAAACCCTCATTGTCATACAAAATTACATATAAGAGGAAGTTGATTTCGTGATACTCTTTATCTTTCATCTTTGTGAGGTGTGTTATAACATGTAAAGATCCCAAGGCTCCAGGTCAAATCTGGGTGGCCCATTAAATTTTCACCCCCAAGGAGAGACTTAACTCTCTACTTTCTCTCTAGTGTTCTGTCTGGGCTTTGGCGAGGAATGAGGAGGGTGGTCCTGTGGCCACCAATGCTGCCATGCTATTTCACAACTCTAGAAAACAGCCTGCTAGGACAACACAGAACTGTGAATTCACCAAGACCCTCAATGCTATGAACCACCTGCTACTGAGGTAGTCTCAAAGACTATGACTCCTGCAACCAACCACAGGCTCTACTTGAATATGTCCCACCAGCACTCAGGTCTTTCTCGCCCTATGGTCTCTGATCTACAGTTGAGACCTCTAATTCCCACTGAGTGCTGACTATCACTACCTCATGGTGGGCCTGGCACTGAGCTACAAGACAAAGTACTGTGCCAGCCCTGTGCCCTGCTCCTTAGCAAGTAGAGTCTCGCTTCCCTCTCTGCCAAGGTAGCTTGGAGGCGTGGAGGTGGAGACAGTCTTTTTCTGCTGACTAAACACAGTACTAGATTCTCAGTCTGAGGGCACTGGTATAGAAATCAGTGTTGTCAGACTCTACAGGACACCAGGTTTCATTCTGGAAGTTCTTGTCCTGGGTTTTAAGTCTGAAGCCTAAGGTTGATTTCTTTTCCATTTCCCAGAAAGGATGCATCTGTCTTCATGCTGGGCTGCTTGAGGTTGGAAACTTCTAAACTTCCTCCCTCTTGAATATGTCATTTCTTTTTAATATACTAAAAGCAGGCATTCACCTGGTTTATTTTTCTCTTCTCAAGCTAGTTTGGTGTGTGAACAGCAGTTAACTCAGTGTATTCGTGGGAGATCACTGAATAAATATCCTGATCCTAAACTACATGTTCTCTTACCATAATAAATTATACATTAAGGGCTGGGGATGTGGCTCAAATGGTAGCACACTCTCCTGGCATGTGTGCGGCCCGGGTTCGATCCTCAGCACCACATACAAAGATGTTGTATCCGCCGAAAAACTAAAAAATAAATATTAAAATTCTCTCTCTCTCTCTCTTAAAATAAATAAATAAATAAATTATACAATAATATTTTATGAAATTGAACATTAGCCACAACTGGGTTACATTAACCATACCAAGTATGAGTTTATATAGATGCTGCTTTGAAAAGGAAATGTAGAAAGAATCTACTGTAGTAATGATGGAAGGAAAGGCTGTGACTCAGGGCATTTAATTCACAKTTCTCTAGCTCTTCCTGCCAATATGCTAAGAATTCTCGTGCCTAAATATGGAAAGAAGAATTGCAACTTTCCAGTAATTCAAAATTCTCCTGGGGGRTGTTTAATCCCATCCCTGTGCCCATACACCTTCTGACCCAGTGCAAAATTATCTCTGGCTATACATATATAAACATTCATTTCAACAGAGAAAAGCAAAGCCTCATTCTTGTGTGTTTTTTGAAAAGTGCTGCAAACAGATTGCATGGTAATTTATGTGTAATTCTAAAAATAGTAAATTAGAGAAAGAAAATTATGAAGATTGATTTTAAGTGGAATCATCCTACAACAAACTTATCTTATCATGAAAGAGAATTGGGAAAAGAAAAAACAATATTTGAAGTTTACAAGAAGGGAAATAAATGAAGCCCTTCATCTGCAGGTATTTCAAACACTCAAGGTCTATGAAAGAACCTCTCTGCCTCAATGGACTATTCTTTTTCTACTCCCCCAAGGGTAAGACACTCACTTCCTTAGACCTTTTCATTCTCCAATACAGTGGGAATTCACTGGCCATACCTGAGCAAATGACACCTGCATCCAACTTGTGTGTGCAGTAGTTTTGTCCCCAGCCTAGAAAAGGGCATTTCCACACATGGGACTCCTCGCCTGTGCACTTCAGGTCATCCATCCAGATGGGCCCTGTTCCTTCCCCAAAGAGTGCCTCGTACACAGCATTTAGGGCCACTCTACAGCCCATTTGTCTACACACCACATGGGCATCGTTCAGGTCCCAGCTGTAGTCACAGACAGTGCCCCAGGAATGCTGATGAAGAATCTCCACTCTGCCTGCACAGCGACTGCCTCCATCCACCAGGCAAAGCTGTGGAGTCTCTGAGGAGACATAATCATGTCAACGTTTGCATTTACAAAGAGAATGAGAAGGGTTCTACTCCCTCCCCCAAAGTAAGCTTTCAGAATTCAGAGTTTGCTGGGTAAGACATGGAGTTGTTATGCCAGGGTAGCAGCCAAGTCTCAGTTGCTATCAAAACAAGTAGAAAACTTAATTGTGTAAAAAAAAAAAAAAAGATCTGTATACGGGGTAAAAATGGGAGTTCATAACCCTTTTGAATCAAACTGTGAAATATGATATATCAAGTTAGATGTAATGTTTTGAACGGCCAACAATAAAAAAAATTATATATAAAAAAAAAGAATTAAAATTGTCCACTCCCATGCAGGACAGTCAGCTGCTACCTACCCACAGAAACTCTGGCTGCCACTCCCCTGTGGACCCCCAACTATCAAAAAAGGGCTTCCCCAGTTGCCTCCATCTTGTGACTCCACTTGTCAGCTACTGACTTAGTTCCCTACACAGCAACCTCTCTGCACCTGGGGACATCTCACAKCTCTGAAGACAGCCAAAATCTGCAGAACTAAACATCACACAGCTCAGGTCTGAACACATTGCACAGCGCCATTGCCCGACTTCCTCCACCCCACACAACACCCCAGTGCTGGAAGTGAACTCCTCCAACTTGGGCCACCTTCCTTGCACTATTTAGTGGGGGCAGCCACCAGATTGGAACTCCAGCTATCCAGGTACCCAGTTCCCAACTTCCCACTCTCCAAGCAGCAGTAACATGGCATAGCAACTGCCCAACACAAAACAGCTTTCAGTGGGACAGTATGCAATGAGACCAGGGTGCCACACACAGGAGCCCCAGTGAGACAGGTCTCTTAATTAGGAACTGGTAAGGGAGAGGGAAACTAGGCAAAAGTTTGTAGACTAATAGACCAGGAACTGGGAAATCTTCAGCCATGATAGGGAGATAGAACTGGGCACTCAAGTCATATGAGTGGTCCCCAAAAATGACCCTTAAGGGACAGTCACCCTGCAGAGACACACAGGTGTCACACCTCACTTCCACGTACCCAGCCCTCCCACCATGGTTACCTTCACCATCCTGAGGGTGGAGATACCAGAAAACACCACCCATTTGGATGAGAAGGGAAGCAGGAAAGATACTGATCTCCAAAACAATCAATAATCCTGGTTTCTTCCTTTAAGGATTTTTTCCCTTTTTTTCTTTTTCTTCTCTTTCTCTATCCTCCCACCCTCAAATCCCCAACATAGGTGAAACCAAGTACTTTGCATGAATTAGGATTTTGAGGACTGGGAGGTTTGAATAATATATTAAAGGTGTGTTGTATATACCTTATTTTTCTCCTCCAATTTTTACTATTTTAACACCCTTTATTTTTCTGAATACATATGTGTGTTTGTTTTATGTACTATACTCTCTTCCCATGTACTTGTCTACCCCAAGTTACTTCCAGCCTATTCTCTTGCTACTAGCCTTCTTTATTAGATTTCTCTTTCATACTTCCTAAGATATATTAACTGTATATCCTCACATCCTGCCTTCTCAGCATATCATCCTATGCCTCACCTCCAGTTCATTGTCCAATGTCAGAAACTGTAGACACTTTTTCAAGCCTACTGATTATACTATAGATAATAATCAAATTCTACATTTCTGTAAATTGTGACCAGACTGTAAACATCTTAATAGCAATTAATTGGTTATAGGTAGTATATTGTTGATATTGGGATCTGTTAACAGTGTCCTTCCTTATAAAGGAGAGATATTGGAACCCTACAGGAGAACTCTAAGCCATAGGGTAAAAACAATAACACCTTAGGCCCACAATGCTAGAAGGGAAGAAACACAAGCAAGATAAAAAGACAAGGGAAGAAAGGGCCCCAAACAAATCATGATACCACATTATTAGAATTCATGGCCAGCACAGCAGAAGAAATTACAGAGAAGGAGATTAGGATGTACATGATTAAAATATTCTGTGAATTAAAGGATGATATAATACAGCAAATGCAGGCAGTAAAAGATCATTTTGACAGAGAACTACATAAACAAATACAGGAAGCAAAAGATCACCTCAACAGGAAGATAGAGGTTCTAAAAACAAAACAACAACAGCAAAAAAAAAAACAAAACAAAACAAAACAAAAAAACACCACAGAAATCCTTGAAATGAAAGAAACAATGAACCAAATTAAAAGTCCAATTGAAAGCATTACCAACATAGTAGACCACTGCCAGGCAGGGCATCAAACAATGAAGACAAAATATATAATCTTGAAAAGAATGTATACCACACAGTGAAAATGGTAAGAAATCATGAGCAGAACATTAGAGAAATATGGAGTAACATAGAAAGACCAAATTTAAGAGTTATTGGGATAGAGGAAGGCATAGAGTTCCAAACCAAGGGAATGAGCAATTTATTCAATGAAATAACACCAGAAAATTTTCCAAACATTAAGAATTAATTGGAAAACCAAATTTGAGAATCCCATAGGATGCCAAAAGTACAAAATCACAACAGATCCACACCAAGGCACATTATAATGAAAAGGCACAAAATACAGAATAAGAAGAGGATAGTAAAAGCTATTAGAGAAAGGAATCAGATTATATATAGGGGGAACCAATTAGAATAACGGCAGATTTTTCAACACAGACCCTGAAAGCTAGAAGATCCTGGAACAACATTTTTCAAGCTCTGAAAGAAAATTAGTGCCAACCAAGAATCTTGTATCCAGCAAAATTAAGCTTTAGATTTGATGATTAAATAAAACTTTCCATAATAAACAAAAGTTAAAAGAACTGACAGCTGGAAAATTGGCACTACAAAACATCCTTGGGAAAATATGAATGTAAAAACAACAATGACAATCAGCAGAGGGAGGTATTACCCTAAAGGAAAAACTAATCAAAGAAGAAAACAAGTCAAGTTAAATAACAAAAATAAACAAATATGACTAGAATACAAATCATGTCTCAATAATAACCCTGAATGTTAATGGCATTAACTCACCAATCAAAAGACATAGGCTAATAGATTGGATTTTTAAAAAAAAGACCCAACAATATGCTCCCTCCAGAAGACTAATCTGATAGGAAAATAAATACATAGACTGAAGGTGAAGGTTGGGAAAAATCATATCACTCACATGGACTGTGGAAGAAAGCAAGGGTTTCCATCCTCCTATCAAATAAAGTAGACTTCAAGCTGAAGTCAATCAAAAAGGATAAATAAAGACATTTCATACTGCTCAAGGAAACCATACACCAACAAGACATAAAAATTATAAATACATATTCCCCAAACAATAGACCATCTATGGTCATCAAACAAATTCTTCTCAAGTTCAAGAGTCAAATCGACCACAACACAATCATCTTGGGTAATTTTAACACACCTCTCTCACCACTGGATCTTCCAAATAAAAGTTGAACAACAAACTATGGATCTCAAAACTACAATCAATAACTTTGAATTAACTGACATACATAAACTATTTCATCCTTCAGCAAGCAAATACATTTTCTTCTCAGCAGCACATGGATCCTTCTCTAAAATAGAACATATAAAATGCCACAAAGCAACTCTTAGCAAATACAAAAAGTAGAGATACTACCCTGCATTTTATCAAATCATAATGGAATAAAATTAGAAATGACAAAATAAATGACAAAATGAAAATAAAAATTACTCCAACACCTGGAGATTAAACAATATGCTACTGAACAATGGGTTACAGAAGACATTAAAGAGGAGATTAAAAAATTCTTATCAGTAAATGAGAACATAGACACAACAAACATCAAAATCTCTGGGACACTATGAAAATAGTACTAAGATGAAAGTTCATTCTATGGAGTTCATTCCTTAAAAGAAGAAAAAGTCAACAAATAAATGACCTAACATTACACCTCAAAGCCCTAGGAAAAGAAAGACAAATCAACACCAAAAGCAGTAGAAGACAGGAAATAATTAAAATCAGAGATGAAATCAATGAAATGAAAACGAAAGAAACAATTGAAAAAATTGACAAAACAAAAAGTCCGTTCTTTGAAAAAATAAATACACTACACTAACAAAGAGAAGAAGAGAGAAAACTCAAATTACTAGCATATGTGATGAAAAAAGTAATATAACAGAAACTACAGAAATATAGAAGATAATTAGAAATAATTTTGAAAACTTGTACTTCAATAATATAGAAAATATTGAAGGCATTGACAAATTTCTTAAGTAATATGATTTGCCCAAATTGATATATTCAGATTTTTTTTTAAATTTTAGTTGTAGTTGGACACAATATCTTCATTTTTTATGTAGTGCTGAGGATTGAACCCAGTGCCCCACACATGTAAAGCGGACACTATACCATTGAGTTACAGCCCCATCCCAGGTTTGCCAAAATTGAATCAAGATGATATACACAATTTAAACAGACCAACATCAAGCAATAAAATAGAAGACACCATCAAAAGCCTACCAACCAAGAAAAGCACAGGCCTGAGTTCTACAAGACCTTTAAATCAGAACTAATAACAAAAGTATTCAATTTATTTCAGTAAACAGAAAAAGAGGGAGCACTTCCAAACTTATTCTATGAGGCCAATATAACCCTGACCCCAAAACCAAGCAAAGAGACACCAAAGAAAGAAAACTTTATGCTAATATCTCTAATAAACATAATAGAAAACTTCTCAATAAAGTTCTGGAAAAACAAATACAAAAACATATAAAAAAGATAGTGCACCATGATCAAGTAGGATTCATCCCAGGGATGCAAGTTTGGCTCAATATATAAAAATTAATGTGTAATTCATCACATCAATAGACTTAAAGTATCATATGATCATCTCAATAGATGCAGAAGAAGAATTTGACAAAATACAGCACCCTTCATGTTCCAAACACTAGAAAAATCAGCGATAAAAGGAAAATATCACAACATCATAAAGGCAATCTAAAATAAACCCTAAGCCAACATCATTGTAAATA